TACCCTCCCGGGCAGCCAGTACCAGCCAGGAGGGGCACGGATCCAGTAAACATGTGGTTGCATTCAGCCTCCCCAGAATCCTGTCCACGTCCTCAGGAGCCACAGAGTCAAACTCCTCCCATATAACAGTCTCAAGACCTGCTCCTGTCTCCTCCCCCGGGGCCACCCAGTCAGAGTCAAGACCTTCTCGAATCCGAGCAACTTTGTCATACAGATATTGAGCAAAATCCTCGGCCCTCCCCTCCAGGGGATCCCCTCCCCCCCTCAACTGAAGGAGAGAGCGGGTCACCCTGAAGAGGGTGGCCGGGCGATTATCTGATGACGCAATGAGGGTGGAGTAGTAGTTAGACCTCGCCACCCTCATCGCCACTAGGTAGGATCTAACCTGTGTCCTTGCCTGTGCTCGATCGGATTCGGTTCGGCTCGCCCTCCAGCTGCTCTCTAGGCGTCTTTTCCGGCGCTTCATCTCTCTCAGCTCCTCGGTAAACCAGGGAGCCAGTTGAGATCTGCGCCGGGTCAGAGGCCGCAAAGGCATGACTTGGTCCAATGCTGCGGCAGCGGCCGCCTCCCAGGCCGCCGCCAGATTTTCAACCGAATCGTGAACTAGGTCCTCGGGATATGGCCCAAGCTCCGTCAGAAACCTCTCTGGGTCCATCAGGCGCCTGGGGCGGAACCATCTAAGCGGTTCCTCCTCCCTACGGCGGGGGGGGCGGTCCGGAAGTCCATCCTGAGGAGTGAATGATCTGACCATGACAGGGGCTCTATAATAGTCCTAAATCTGGAGAACTTTAGTAAAGTGCTTTTCTTCTGGGTGATGAGAGGTTGCAGACACTTGCATACTACTGCATGGGTGTTCAGAACGGTTTCCTAAACTTTCTCCTATCTCCCCCCCCCTTTTTTTTTTCCTTTTTTCAGATGGGGCTTCCTGTGTGATCTCTGATCTGTAGATGTTATAGATCCCTCGTGAATCCTCATCCTTTCACCACATTCATTATTGGTGCAAAAACCACACCTTGGAGTTTTGTTCTGCAAACGATTATTTCCCTTTCTGTTGCTTTGGGGAGCATCTTAGCTCTGAGCCCGCCATAAGAATGATGCATTTAAAACTTGAAGTATGCATGTTTGTATGGATAGTACAAGGAGCAGGTTGGGTG